ATATACAATATTAAGGCACAGGTTTAAGCAGCAAAGAATAGGAAAATCTTTGGCTGACCAACAGAAACCACATTGGCCGTGGGGGGCACTCTGCGTTCTTGGACGTCACCCCCCAACTCAGTACAGAGACCCACGTGGCCGTGCAGCTCTGCAGACACCCCTTCCATGGGACGAAGATGCCGAAAGGTCATGCCAGAGTCCATGAGAGGGAACACAGCACGCTAACCCCCAATCACGGCGACGACACACTGTGGGTGGGGAGCACGGGTGCCCGACGGCTGTCCGAGAGTTGGCTGAGGTCACTGCCTGTGCCTGCCCCTGCCCTGGGTTCACAGGCACTCATGCCAATCCTGTTAAGGGCCCCGTGGGGGAGGTGCTGCCACGGTCCCCCCACAGCAGGGGGAAAACACCTTCATTCCAAGAACACCACCGCAGACAAACTTGCTTACATTCTGTTTTGTAATAAATCCTTGCAGGTGTCTCTACGCGACCAGATTCCAAGGCAAAGTCACACGTACACACACCACCGGGCATTGGCGCTTTGAGAGCTGATACGAGAAAACGCGGTGAATGTACCTCATGGTATTGAGAAGAGTATTTTAATTCTGAAGAAGCACTTTTATGACAAAGCTACACCTTGGTCATCGCAGTACACGACAAGAACATGCGCTTAAATATTACAAGGCTTTACGGAGCTCCCGCTGGAGGGCTCCACTAAGGACTACGGCCCCCACCTGCGTGTATGCAGAGAGGCGAACACATACAAGGCATGGCAAGAGAAGAGATTTTCAAAAGCGAACCCACTAGAAGTTACATGTACTGATGACTATTGTCCTCCTTGGAAGGGGTCACTTTGAGAGGCTCTACGAGTCCAAAGACTGATTCCAAGGAATGTTTTCGGGCTTTTTCTTTTTTGAAAGGTAAAATGGTATGACCTTCATCACCCACTGTTATTTGTTCAACTGGGATGATTTCCAAACTTAGATCCATCCTCAAAGGAGGAAGATTTCTCATTGGTAAGGATAATCAAAGGAAACGTGCCAGGCTCCAGAGGACATTCTCACAGAGGCATGGGCAAACTGTTTCTCCTGGGGACAGCCATCAGCACAGAGTCTCCCAAAGGGTCACCGTTTAAGGGGTGAGATGAAATACTTGGATATTCCGGATATTAAGCAAGGAAACCCGATGCACAACCTTGCAGTCATGCCTCAAACGTATGCACGGACTTACACACACGTCTTTATAAATCATTAAATTACTAAACAAGAAAAGGATATCCTACTTAAAGGGAAGAGAGGAAAAACTTGCTTCTTCGTTCCAGAAGAAATCCATTTACTGAAATGCTGACCTTTTACATGTTCCCAATTGTCAGCTTCTGGAAGCTTCTTAATGACTCCACCCATCTCCCCATGAAGCCAGACCTCAGCGGCAAGCTGATTAAACAATCCTCACATTGGAGGAAGACATTTTAAACACATCGATTAATTAGCAGAAAGAAGAGAAGAAAAGCCATATTTATAAAGCATCTGCGGGGGCTGCCTCGGGCGAAGCCAGCGGAGGGCTGGATGCCCTCTGGCTACGGGACGGCCTTACGGGTTAAGGATACCCACGGGCTCCCACTCACCATGGCCACGGGACCCTTTGCTCAGGAGGGCAAGTTTACCCGCAGCTCACAGCACACTCCCCGAACTCCAGGGCAGACGGCAGCAGGACTTTGGTTTTGGAAAATGGGTGGAGCTCCCTGCCTCGAAACCTTTTAAAACCCCGATCCATTCTTCACTGCCTCCTGGGAACGTGGCCTTCCCTGACGTCTCTGCGACTCGCGAGGCTGCCGGGGACCTGGTTTGTTTTCTCATCAGCCTGTGGCATCAGGAGAACACAGGGGGATGAGGGCGACCCCGGGGGAGAAGGGGAGTGATGGCCAGCTCGTCTGCAGCGGCCATCATGACAGCCTCTCCCATGAGCGACAGACCCCTGCGGTCTCTGTTCCAAGATCAGAATTCATAAAGAGCCACTATCTGGCTATCGGACCCCAGCCCTGTGCGGTCAAACCCAGGATGTGCTCCCAAGAGCTGGCCCCACAGGATGGAAGAGAGAAGGGCCCCACTGCTCTGTGCGCTCCAGCCAATGCCCTGTGAGGGATGAGGCAGCCCTGTCCTGCAGGCCTGCCTGGAAGGGGCCCGACTGCACGCGGGCACTCGCCACCGGCCTCTGGCAGGCCACAGAGAAGCCAGGAGAAGAAACGGCTAAGACAAGTTTCTGCGCGTGCTTTGCAATGAACTTCCGGACTCCAGCAGATCCCTTCCTTATGATACCCCGGTCAACACGCGGAAACTGCCAGGCGACCCATTCCTGGAGGAAGCCGACTGTCCCTGGCAGGTCTTCACGTGAAGCAAAGCCTTTACCCTTCACACCAAGACGGGACTTGGGTGGTCCGTAGACACCACAGAATCCTGCCATCAAGGCCTCTGGGCAATGCACAGGGTTTTTTTTTCGGGGGATTTTGTGGCCCTGCGTATGATGGAACATGGAGACTTCCATCTGTACCTCGTGTTTATGGGCAGTTCCAGGAGTTCTGGGCTCAAGTCCTCCTCCTTAGTTCCCGAGAGGTGTGGCAGCTATGTGTGTGTGTGTGTGCGCGTGTGCTCTGCGCACATCACAGACAGGGCCAGAGCTGGCTGAGACGTGGTGTGAAAGATGGCTGTGACCCGTGTCGGTGGCAGTCCAGCCTGTGATGGGGGCACAGCTCCCCTCTTCCCAGGCCCTTGGTTCAGATGCCACTGCCGTGAGCCTTTGGGGAGGGACTGAACCTCCCTGAGCCCCCGTTTCCTCCTCAGTGAAATAAGGCTAAAGCAGCCCTTACTCTCCAGGTGGCTCGAGGACTCATGAAAAGGTGCTCACCACCCTGCCTGCCTACAGCCAGAACCAACTGGTAGTTCTTTTTCTGCAAATCAAACGAGATGAAGGATTGTAAAGGGCCCAGAACGCAGAGCAGGTGCTCAGTGTTTGTGACCCCTTGCTCCTATGGGCAAACGAGGCTTCGAGAAAGCTGCGAACATGAAAAGCATCGGGGACCGGGGGAGGGGGCTGGCGTGGCAGGAGATCTCCCAGAAAAGAACACATCTGAAAGCTAGAGATCGCTTTTCTTATGGGAGAGTCTTAGCAAGTCAGAAGAAAAAAAGAGTCCTGACGATCACAGCAAAGCTGAAGAAGCGACCAAGGCCGGCCCCCAGGCCTGGAGCCAAAGGGTGTGCTGGAGCAGAGAGACAAGGCTTAGGGAACACCAGGCTGTGGCTCCCACTTTTACCCACTTCTAGGAGAGACAGCCTGTGTTTGAGGTGGCCCGGGTGTGGGCCATGGGGCCCGGCCGAGGAGACTTGCCCTCCTACCTCTAGACACTTGCATTCATCCCTGGTCCATTCACGATATTAATTAAGGAGTCAAAACATCCTTAAGAGAAAGAGTCACCATCGCCTAAACTCACCACCTGTAAAAAGTGATGAGGAGCAGAGACTGGGGTCTCCCCACCCCATCCCCACAACTGTCCACACTCACGCAGCCCCAGCACAAGGCAGGCGGCCCGGCTCCCAGAACCACTGCAGCTTTGGGGGACTGATGGGAGCAGAGGAGGCCAAGACCACACAGAGCTCAGCACCCCACAGAGCAGGACTTGGGAAGAGGCAGTCCTGCTCACGGTCACGCCATGCCTGCTCTGGCCAAGGCCGCGGCTATCTTCCTCCCCTCTCTGGTTTACGCTGCAGTCCTCCCTCCACCTGGGGAGGCTACAGCTCCATCCTCCTTACACCCCAAAGACCAACTCTAAAATAAACCTCCTAAGCAAAATTCCCGGAGAAGTGTTGTGTCCAGGGCTCCACATAGGTGGGACTTGAGAAAGTCTCAACCCAGGTCCTTTTTTTTTCCCTTTAGGAGAGGGCTTGGGATCAGAAGGGTCCAGCTGACCTGGAGAGAGGAAAGTATCCCCAAGAACGTCTGCCAGCCTGATTAGCGTCTCCTCTCCCCTGATCCAGCACCTCTCAGATTCGTAAAGAAAGCCAGTGTCTGAGGAGTCAGGGGCCCCCAACCCCCTTCACTCCTGGCTCTTCGACATGATGCTCTGTCCTACATTGGCCAACTTGCCCCACACCGAATCTTCGCAACCTGTAACTATACATATACTGGCCCATTAGATCACAAAGCCAGTTCATGGCACAGAAACACTGACATGCTAACATGGAGATCTACATGGGTGTCCACGGCAACCAGAGGAGTGCAAGGGAGTGGGGAGTGAGGTGAACAGGCTCGGACTCTAGGAAGTCATGCAAGCTGTCCCAAGTGTCATTCATTTCCTGGAGGGCAGTCCTGAAAGTCCCATTAGCCCAACAGAGCAACGGGGCAGAAGGACAGAGCTCTGTGCAAGATGTGAGACAGAAGAGCCAGGGCCACGATCTGAACGCAGGACGTCACAGTGACCGGGGCATCTTCCGCCTCACCGACACTTACCTCGTTCCCCGTCACACTGAGCCCCGTGACTCCAAGGGGGAGGAGGCAGCCAGGCCCCCAGCACACGGCTCTGTCCCACTGGTCACTACGAAGCAGAGATCTGATTCTGCTCTAACAAATCCCAGACCTGAGGAATCCTGCCGTGTTGTGGTAACAAGGAAAGGAAGTGAAAGCAAAGAAGAATAAAATGAAAGAATGAAGCAGAGGAAGAGATGAAACTGAGAGCAGTTAGGGAGTTTGAGCACCAAGATCAGAACGCTCCCTTCCTGCTTCAGGTTTTTCCTGCTGAATCCGGAAAATCTAAGAAGCCCCACCGTCTCCTCAAAATCCAAACCAAGCAGGGAGTTGAGTGAGAACCTCCTTCTAAATGTCCATCACGCGGACACGGCTTCTCGCTGCCAACCCCACACACATTCACAGGAAACCCTGATGGCACAGGTGACACAACAGGATGCCGAGACAGGCTCTCGGAGATTTCTAGGACGTTCTTCTTTAAAAAAAAAAAATAATAATAATCCCAAAAACAAACATGCTAAGAGGCAAGGAGAAGGGGGGGCGGCGGGTATTTCAAGGAAGATCCACGTTCAGGTTTATGTGTTTATAGCCAGAGGGCAGGTGTACACAGACCCTCCCCGAGAGATACATTTTCTACACAGTGAGAATCACACTTCCTGCGACGTCTTGGTTTCCAAACCTACATGCGTCTTCTCCACCGCAAGTGACACGAATCCATAGCATTCTCGTCTTTAGTCATGTAGGTCTCCTGATTTTCTTTTTAAACGTTTATAAAAAGCGTTCTTACTAATTTAAGATCTTCATCAGTTCACATCCTTCCTGATTTTCCATCCACGACTTTCTCAATCTTTCTTCTGCCTCTCGGCCGCGCTCCTCATTTGTCAAGAGCCCCTCCAAGAAGGAGCAGGACGCCGACGTTAGATGAGAACCTCCATCATCTCCCCGTCAGGGAACTCGGGCTTGTGGAGCAAGCTGCTGACGCGGCCTTTGTGGTCAGGGGACTTCCCGTGGCCCAGAGGGTTCTCTGCCAAACAGAAGGGGACATCAGCAGCCCATCCCACAAAGGAGCACGGGGCTGACGGGCTCTCTTCCCAGGGAACCACTTCCAACACCAGTGCTCACCACCAGCCTCAGCAGGGGAGGCCACAGAACCTGCCCCACCCCCACCCCACCGAGGAGAAGAGCGAAATGATGGGCCCTGGGATTCAGACAGGAATAACAGAACCAGGTGGTGATGGGGAAGGTAAGTGTGTGAAGAGGGCCCTAGGGATGTGTGTGAGGAGCCCCTTGCAGCCACTCTCCTTCTCTGCAAAACCATCCAGTCCTGCGCCTACAAGCCACGTCCTTTTCACGTGTTCCTTGCCTTGGAAAAGTGTGTCTCAAGAATTAAACGTTCAAGGGACACCTGGGTTGCTCAGTTGGTTTAGCATCTGCCTTTGGCTCAGGTCACAATCCCAGGGTCCTGGGATCAAGCCCCACATCTGGCTTTCTGCTCAGCGGAAAGTCTGCTTCTCCCTCTCCCTCTGCTGCTCCCCCTGCTTGTGCATGCACTAGCTCACTCTCTGATAAAATAATCTGTACTTTTAAAATATTTTTTAGGATTTTATTTATTTGACAGAGAAAGAGAGAGAGAGAGAGAGAGAGCACATATGGGAGGGCCAGAGGAAGATGGAGAAGCAGGCTCCCCACTGAGCAGGGAGCCCAATGGGGGGCTCAATCCCTGGACCCTGGGATCATGACCTGAGCCGAAGGGAGATGCTTAACTTACTGAGCCACCCAGGTGCCCCATAAATAAAATCTTCAAAGAAAAAGAAAGAATTAAATGTTCAAAAAATGACAATGCTGTGTTTCCCTGTCTACTTTCACGGCTGAAACTTAAGTAGCCCCTTGGAGGAAATGGTTAATTTACGCCCCTGAGAGCCCCACTCCTCCAAAGAACTCGAGAGGGCTATCCCACAACTCAGATTAACCCAAAGGCACATCTGGTCTTTCCCCGGACGCTTCTGGACTCATGGCAAGCCCACCGCACCCAGGCTGTCTTCTCCTAAATATTTTAAAGCACCTCATTTTTGCTGGCCTGAGGGTTGTGCCAGAAGTCTACCTTCCCTGCAGTCAAGTCTGCCTTCCCCCTCAGTCGGGAGGGCGCCCCTAAACCCGGATCCCTGAAGGGTGAAGCCCTCGAAGGCAATATCTGCGTACCAAGTACCTCTGAAGTGCCTGGTGCCTGGCACTAGTTCCCACACAGGCTGGGGGGCTTCTCATTCCCTAACACCCCGCAGCGGGTCGATTCTCACCCCCATGGGGAAGGGTTTACTACAAAGCATCCATTAAAAGGGTACCTTCAAGTTGTATACTCGTTTAAAAGGCAAACAGAAGTGTCTATACATATTTTGTTCCTGTAAGAATAAAGTACATCAGGATAAGCATAATTATGAAGAACCCCCATGGGGATGCCTGGGTGGCTCAATCCATTAAGCAGCTGCCTTCAGCTCAGGTCATGACCCTAGGGTCCTGGGATCGAGTCCCACACCAGGCTCCCGGGAGCCTGCTTCTCCCTCTCCCTTTGGCTGCTACTCCCCCTGCTTATGCTCTTTCTCTCCCTCTCTGACAAATAAATAGTCATTTAAAAAAATAAAAAAATAAATAAATAAAGAACCCTATGAAGTGAGAGCTGATTGGCATTCCTGGTACCCTTCCCCCCTCGGTCCCAACCAAAGGCTCCCTCTCTGGCCAGAGTTCTCTGGGTTTTCTCAGAGTAAAGGGAGGGAAGAAGCCATACCCGGTTTCTCCGCAGTCCCTTTGGCCCCCGGGTGTTTCAGGATGGGGCTGTTGGAAGGGGTCACGCTCAGCCGGCCACGGGTGGGCAGGGAGGCCATGCTGGGCCAGAAGAGCTCAGTGCTCTTGTCGGTCTGGGTGCTGCTGTCCTTGCTGCCCGTCTTCGCGTGGGCACTGCTGGCCAGGGCGGGGGAAGCGTGTTCATGGTGGTCCTTCCCTAGCAGCAACCCTGAGGACACAAGGATAGCTATGTTAATGCCAATCTCGAAAGAAACACAAACAAACAATTTCATTTCCTTCTCGACTGAGGACAGCTTCATTCATTGATTCATTTACCACGTCCTTTATAAGCACGTATCATAAGCCTGATAAGAGGAAAAGCACTGAGGGACTTAAAAAAAAAAAAGGAAAGGAAAGAAAGACCTAGCCCCCTCTCTAAAACTCCCTGGGTTTTTCGTTTGTTTGTTTTGGAAGAGTAGTTCTTAAGTAAGCTGGTAATGATGAATTATGGAGAATAGTAGGATAAAATCATGCCCAGGGTAGTAGAAGAGGCCTCACAGCCCGTGTCGAGGGGAGGGGGCATTCCTGCCAGGCTTTCTGGAGACGAGGCTATCTGACAGCCCAGGGAGGGCTAGCCTTGGGCAGCACGTGTGTGCCGAAGAAACACGGAAGGCTTCCCGGATCTGAGACATGGAGCCCAGGGGCCTTGAGAGCAGCCCAGAAGACCACACCACTCTTGGTCATGGAGGGTCTCCCACACACCCGGGTTCAAAAACAAACTCTTCGCGGTCAGGGCAATACCGAGTTGTGCTCATTATTCCCCAAAGCAGATCCCTTGCAGCGGCAAGCCTCGGCCCCCAGGAAGCAGGGAGCCAGCTGGCCTTCTGGACAGGGTCACTGAGCCCTGCTCCTCCTCCCTGCTGCCCCAGGCAGGCGCTGGGGTGGAAAGGGGATGTGCTGGCCAGGAAAACAACATTTGTATTTCTGAAGAGTGACACAGGGCATGCACGCCGGAAAGCGCCAGCATCCCAGAACACTAGCCTCCAGAAGAGGTGGCAGTAAGCACAATCGAGTATCTGTTCGCTTAACGAGCCAGCCATCCAGAGAGGACCCTGGCCAGGGTGATTTCAAGGTGCCCATTCACAAGCAGGGCCGTCACGTGTAACTGCCTATCCATTTCTTGGACACACTGTTCAAGTGCCGTGTGACTCCGTGGGTGGGGCCTGGGACTCCGCTTCTTTAAGGAGTCCCAGGTGATCTGGGGGTCCTTGCACTGCACTGCAAGGAACAAGGGTCTTCGGAGACCTGCTTCTCACACACCAGCTCACTTTCTACTTTACAATGCTCTTCTGACACAGGTCCTGTCCTTATCTTCTGTTTTACGGCAAAGGTAATGAGAATGCAGAGAAACGAACCTCTCACAGCTAAGAAGCCATAGAAACGGGATTCAGATGCGTCTGTGCCCGACGCCAAGTCCAGCCCATGCTCCTGGATCCCCGCACCCTGCCTGTCGAACCTCCACGGCCTGACAAGCATGCTCTGGTGGAATGAGGTCACCAGCCAGTCAGCCCACCGGGGAGCCCCGGGCCATCCAGGACGTATACACGGTCAGCCCTCCCTCCTTCCAGAGCCCAGGAAGCAAGAGGCAGTGGAGACAGTTTGGGAACTGCAAATGTGTCCCTCCGCTCAGCCCCTCAGGGAGTCCCCTTTGGTTTTTTTGTGACGCGTGGACAGTCACAATCATGAGGAGGAACACAGCGCAGAGAACACAGCAACCCTTCCTGTGGACGGGTCCTCGGTCTCCCGGGCCTGCTTCAGACATGCCACATGCTAGCGGGGACAGACCCAGACAGCAGTGGCACGCCTGCCTGGCTGGACGTTGCACACCGCCTGCAGCAGGGAGTGACCCATCGTGGCCCAGCACACTTCCCACTCCTCTACCAGACCGGCCTGAGCACTAGTCCCTGGGCTCTCTAACCAGAGGATGGAGCTACGGGCCCTTGGGAGGGTCTCTGATGATCCCAGCTGCCATCCGCACACATCCTCTTTGAAGTGCATTTCCGTGGTGGGCAGACGCTGCTGAAGGGACCTGCGAAGGGACGGCAAACAGAGACTCTGGCCGCGCACCTTTGATCCCCCAACACTGGCCGGTCCACTCTGGAAGCCCTTCTCCCCTTTGGCACAAAGCAGCCAGGCTCCTCTGGGGTTCTGTGCGGAGGAAGACTGGCTCTCAGCTCCACAGATAAACAAAACACACTCTGACCCAGGGAAAGGCATCAAAGAAGGGCCAGAGCCTGGGAGCCGCTGGAGCTCAGGGAAGAGCGAGCAAGACGGGTGTCCGGGCGCGCTGCCTGCTTCCGCTCCAGACCCGGGCGGCCCCCTCAGCAGGGCTGCCGCACCCAGCAAACCCATTGAGGCTGAGGAAGACCCCATCGGCAGAGCTCGCCTCTGCAACCACCGCCCGACAAAAACGACCACCCACCACCCCTTATGCTTGACAGCGCGGCTTCCAAAGCACTTTCTCCCCATTCTCTCGTTTCGCCTCCGCTCAGTCACACGGCAGAAAGCAGGACCTTGCTTTTCCAGACACAGACGCGAAAGTGCAGCCAGGTCCAGAGCCTGACCTCTCTGGGCTTTTCCCATCTTCTGCTGTGAGGGTTACTTCAGCTCTGAGCAATAATGACAATGATTGTGATGTGAATCAAACCAAGGCCGGTAGCTACTCTTGTAGTCTAGCTTTGCTTCCATGTATCTCGTCTAATTTCTACAACTAAAGCGTGACCGATTATCCTCCCCGTCCACAGATGGGTCAACAGACCCGGAGACACTCTGACATTTCTGCATCTCATGAATGGCAGAGCCGGGGACCACCAAAGGGTCAGAACCCTTTCCACCAGGGTTTCCGACCAGGTGGGCTCGCCTCTCCACATCTGTGTAGCTCTTGCTTTTCAGATCCTGGCCTGAAGGAGGCGTGGGGCTCACCTATGCTCCCCTTCCAGGGCTTCTCCTCCTTCTTCTCCTCGGCCAGCTGGCTGCTGGTAAGCGAGGTCTGGCGGGAGTGGGTCCCCGTGGCCGCAGCAATGGACGGGACAGAGCGGGCGGGACGCAGGCTGGAGGAGTCTGTCTTCCCGGCGTCTTTACGGGACCGCTGCTGAAGGACCTTAATCATGGCATCCTTCTCTATGATTTTGGCATGGAGATTCTTAATACTATGTAACAAGACAAAACCAAATGGCCATAAACAGAAGCTATTTGGCTAGAAAAACCTGAACCATTTCTCTTGGGCTGCCCCAGGGACTTGAATTATAATTCAGAGGAAGAGTTAGGTGCAGTCCTCAAACATTTACAATCTGCAAATTATACAAAACAGAACTTCTGTAGCAGATCAGAAGGGCACACCTTCTCTGGCCTCTCCTGGGACCCCAAGGACATATGTGCAGAATGGTTGCAGCCTCCCGGCAGGGACCTCCTGCACTACGGTGTGCTCATGGACCAACTCAGAGGATCTTGGGTCCCTGGGGATGGGGGCCAGAGGGGCAGTCAGGAAACTCAACCACTCTGAAGCCTCACACAGGTCTGGCTTTCCACAAAGGTCAATGCCCCCATTTTCTGAGAACAGAGAAATACAAGACAGATGGGTTTCCTGGGAAAAGAGGTTTTCATCCCCCTGATGGCTCAAAATGAGAATCAGAAAGCACTTGGGTTTCCTTCCTGACTTGGGGGTATGTGGCTGAGCCCATCAGCTGTTCAGAGCAGGGAGGGACTGGTGGGCCCCGTGGGGGACTTGAGGAGAGTGGCCACGAGCACACGGCGGTCCCTTACGTGTACTCCATGTCCTGACACCTCCTGGTGGCCTGTGCCACCTCCTCCTCGTCCTGCCAGATGTGGGCCTCGAGCGAGCTCTCTCCGTAGCTGCCATTCCTCGAGTGGTTGATGATCGTGGTGTCCCTGGGAACACAGGACACACAGACAATGATGCGTATCCTCCTAGGGAGGTATGTGAGGGCACCACAAGACAGTATCTCTTCAACACCTCTCCCTCTCCGAAATCCTGGCCAGCTCTCCCCCTAGACTTGACAGAATGAAGACAGTGTCTGGGGAAAACAAAATGAAATCCAAAGATCAAAATTCCTCTCCTGTGGGACCCCTACTGTACCCCCTACGACAGAGGGAAGCTGTTGTCATTGCACTTGTGTCTTCATGCTTGTCCTCCATACTTACCCTTTCTCAATCAGAGTCAACGTTCTATTTCGATTTCTCACCCACCTAGCAGCAATTCCAGTATTTTACAGTGAAACGGAGACTCGGCAAATACTTGGAAACACACACTGGGCCTCTCAGACAGTGAGGCTCGGGCAAAATCTTCCCTCGAGCCTGCAGGCTAGCTCAAGGCCAGCTTCATGAGCCCCTGTGTGACAGCCATCCCGGGTGGTGGGGCAGAGAGATGGAGACACACAGCTGTCCCTGGAAAGTGCAGGAGCTGAAGTGGAGGGAGTGGCAGACATAGTACAGGGTGGCTGGAAGCAAGTGTCTACTAGAAGCTAACTATTCCTCTGCTGCTTTAGACAATTTAATCACTCCTAGTTAATGATGACTGGTAAAAAGAAGATAACGGTGCCATCTAAGTGATCTAGGTGTATCTCAAATTCCAAGGTGCCCTAGTATCTCGGACCAGTGAATGCCAAATTGATAAATGGACTAGCCAAAGATCTCACATCTCTTGAACTTCATATTCCAATGCTGCAATCATATTTAAAATCTTAATAGCGTTTTTCTAGAACACTCAAGAATAGCAAAGAGAACTCCTTCTTTCATCTCTCTAATGACAGCTATCAACAAATGAGCTTTTCCTTTATGCCAGGGATGGGGTAAGACATGCTACACAGGGCCTCTCACACAGTCCTCACAGCAACCTGGGTAGTTGGCCTTATTATCCTCATTGTACCGATGAACAAATAGGCTAGGCGACTTTGTGAGAACACCCAGTTAGCGAAGGTGGGGCAGATTCAAATCCAGATATTTCGGTCCATGCCCTGAGCCATCACGCTGCACTGCTAGAGCTTCCTGTGTCTTTTTAAAAAATACTTTATTTATTCATTTGAGAGAGAGAGAGAGAGAGAGAGAGAGAGAGCACGAGCAGGGGGAGGGGCCGAAAGGAGACGCTGACTCCCCGCTAAGCAGGGAGCCTGATGCGGGGTGTGACTGCAGGACCCTGGGATCATGACCTGAGCTGAAGGCAGGTGCCCCACTTCCTGTGTCTTTATGAAGAAGGCCTCAGCAAAAGGCAAGAAGATAAAATAAACCAACAAAGTGGGCGCATGTGAGAGTGTATTTGTGTGAAATGCAGCTGAAAATAAAGCACAAGGCCAACTAACATAGAAAAGAAGCAAACACTTTAAACACACAGACAGCCAAAAGAGCGCTTTGGAAGAGGTGGTGGAGGTTTTTGCTGTATTTTTGCATAGGCAGAATTTTGATGCCAATTCTGCAGGTCATGAATTCACCCTACAGTGCACAAAAATCACCACCACAGAAATCAGTGGCTGGAGAAAACACTGTCAACCAATTAACTTTTGGAAAAATCACGCAAGGCCAGACACCAATTAAAAAATTCATGTTTATGCTGCCACGTGAGGATAGCAGGAAGAATTAGATCAAAACACCTCAGGAGGTAAAATCACACACGCCACTCTCAAAAACATTAACTACACTGCGTTGGGATCTATAAAAAGTTTCAAAACCATAAAAAAGGCCAAACCCCTCAAAATTCTGATCAACGGTGCCGAAAGGCACCAAGATGGTGGAAGCGTTCGGTAGACAAAAATCATTCCTTTAAAAATCACTGCTTATAAACACGAAGCATGCGTCAGTGTGCGTAAAGTTACAAACCGAATGGCTGGCCGTTTTTACCAGTTCATCCACGGCCATGGAGCATCTAGACAAGAGCTGAGAATTTTGACCTTTCTCAAAAATTCTTCATTTCCCCTTTCTCCCTCTCTATCAAAAGAAAAGCAGTGCAAAATTACAGAGGTTTTCTTTGAAAATTAGAATTTGGAGATCAGACTGACCCCCTGACCTCCTCTCATGGACTCTCCCCCAGACGGTGGGAAGGAGTGGTCAGGAAGGGGAAGGGAGTTCCCACAGAATTATCAGATACCCAATGAACACATGCGGAAACAAAGAAGGGGGGCCAGGCGCATCGGTGGAAGGGCCTTGATCTACCTGTGCATCTGAGACTCCAAACGGGGTAGAGGAGAGCTGCAGGGCTGGGGAGATCCCACAGGACTCCCATTCTTTGTGGGTAACAGAGCAGTGTGCCTTGCCTGGAGGAGGACGAGCAAGGCGGGGCCTAGCACAGGTGAGTGGCCGAACGTGGGCTCTCCCCGGTGCCCACCACAGATGTCTCACGCCTCAGACCCTTCATTCCCCGATTTCTGGTCTGACATCCCAGTCCCATTTGTCCTCTTGGGGCCCAGGATCCAAAACACACATTTAACCTCATAAAGCACGGGGAGTGGAGACGGCCACGACACACAAGGGACCCCATGTCCGTTTCCAAGGTAACACATTTATGCTGCTGCCGGGGCTCTCCTGTCCTCAGCTGGTGGGCTACAGTGGTTCTCTCCCTAACCAGCCAAGAATTACCACTTCTGTTTCAGGAATCAGATGATTTTTTGAAGGAACTCAGGGACACTCAGAAAGGTTTCTGTGTAATCACGCACCCACAGTCGGCAGCAGAGGAAGAAGCCTGCAGGGGTGGGGGTGGGGAGGCCGTGCCTGCCTGTGCAGTGTTCCCTCCGCTAACAACCCCACGGAGCCAGCGACTCCCAGGGCCATCGAGGACAGCTGGGCGTTAGACCCAAAAGGGCAAGGAAGGCCAAAGCCTTCAGTAACTGGATGACCGTCTGGGCTCTTCCTCGAGACAGAGGTGAGTTACTGCCTCAGAGAACAGAAAGCTGAAAAGCAACACCTCGAAGCTCTGTAGAAATCCAGGCTTCACTCTTCTCACCCTGGGCAGGAGGACGGAACCAGAGGCCCCAATTCCCTCCAGCTCTCCCGCCATCACTCTGGGGCTCCGCCACGCGACACACCTCTCTAGGGTCTGTGCCCGCTCCCGGGCCTCGCTCAGAGGGGCTACTGCAGGCTGTTTGCCCTCACGCAGACATTTATAGCCGAGCACTAGGAACTGGCCCCCGGTGGTCATTCTCCACACGAGTCCGCAGGGTCTCTCTAGGTGTGAGCATGCTGTGGCACCCGGCGGACAAACCTGTGCCCACATGGGTTGGCACTGCTCTTGTTCCAAGTTCCTGGGGGGAAACCCTGCAGGTACCATTGTTGGGGGTTCCTCTCTACCTGAGTAATGAATGTGAGAGCCCACGAGACCTTACAGAGTACCCCCATGCCCTCCACCCCAACAGGCCTATAACATGGCCCCTAAAATGTGGCACCAACTACATGATAGGGCTGCATCCCGTGTTTACTCCTCACCTGGTTTGGGTCCCACCCTCCCAAGGGCTCAACGACAACCCCCAGTAAGCCCAGTTTCGGGGACATTCCTCTGAGATTTGAGGGTCTCCCCAACCTGAACTGACCCTAAACTGTGATAAATCACAAACAACTGTGAATGAAATGCCCATGGAATCTATGGGCCCATAGCCAATGGAGGGGGCAGGGAGGCAGCGGGAGCCCAGACGGTGGGACACACGGCCCCTCAAGTCGGGGTGTGGGGTGGGGGGACAAGACCATGCGCAGGTAGTACCCAGCAGTCGGGGAAGAGCACCCCCTCATTCAGAGAAGAGGATGCTTTACCAGCATTCCTTTGTCGATTATCAAGCATTTGGAGCTCATTTTTATTTTTAAAAGATTCTATTTATTGGAGAGAGAGATTGTGAGAGAGAGGTCACAAGCAGGAGGAGGGGCAGAGGGAGAAGCAGACTCCCACTGAGCAGAGAGCCTGACCTGGGACTCGGTCCCAGGACCCCAGGATCATGACTGGAGCTGAAGGCAGACGCTCAACTGACTGAGCCCCCCAGGCACCCCTAACCTCATTTTCAAAGGGGAGGACGAGGCTGTGTGGAGTCCACAGAAAGGAAGCAAAGCAGCAGAGGGAATAACTGACAACAGCAACAATTTCAAAGCAAAAGAAACCAGGCTTTGGGTCACACCGGACTCCAGGGAACACGTGGCCCCAGAGCTCCTGGCAAGTGTGACTGGGGATCCACCAGCACACCTCACAGAGCCTCGCTTCTTCGCCTGCATGATGAGGCTACTAACAGTTCTTGTTGGGCCCCTGGGGAAGGTGGGACCTGACCCAGGTTGAGGGTCGGAGGCGGCCCCATTGTCCAGTCAGGCCCATGTTTAACGAGGACTAAATCTTGTCTGGCCCATGACACACATGCATGGGCAAGAGAGCATGGCACCCCTCCCGGGGACCCCGTGGCTCCCCTCCCACTGTGTCAGATGCACCGCGGGCTGACCTCACCTCTCAGCCGCCGCAGTGGCCGCAGCGTTCATGGCAAAGTGCCGGATGGTACTCTCCTCCAGGTACTTCTGCTCCCATTTGGTCATGTCAGCCTCCAGGGCCAGGATGCGCTCCTCCTTCTCCCTCACGAGTTCCATGAGGGCTGGGGCATTATACTCCGGCATGCCGGGCGGCTGGCCGTTTCCATGTTTCTGAGAGGCAAGATAAATAACGCATCTTGAGGCGGGAATGGGGCAGACCGTGTACATGGGGTGTGAGGACCCCACAGCACAGTCCCACTCTGTCCTCATGCTCTCGCTCCCTCTCCTATGGGGATGATGTCGACCCTCCAGATCCTACTGCCAAGGACAATCACTGTCCAAATTCCTCCACCCCGAATCCTCATGCACCTTATCCCGATGTTAGAGGGGAGACAACGCAGCTTCTGGGAGGTGGAATGAACTGTCCAGTTCCTCTTAGCTACTCAGTGGTAGCTCACAGAGGACGGACTGTCTGTTCCACTGAGGGCCCCAGAAGCAAATTAGCTACTACCTAAGAAAGCCTTTTATCAACCTTAAAGGGCTAACCAAAATAAAGTGCTACCAGAAATCTGTGAATGCAAGTCAAGCTCATTTTTCAGCCCTTTCTTTCCATCTGGGTCTGGAAGATAGGAAATAAAGCAATTATGTTATTTGGACTGCTCACGAGTAAGGATATGGATGTTTTGGATTTCTTCCCTTTGAACACAGGTCTATTATCTCCTCTAAATAGCATGATGTGCATGTTTTGAGATTCTGCCTTTAGAAGAGAACGATTTCCCCCCATTACTCCATGTCCTGGGATGCACATTGCCCTCAAGTTTTCCAGCAACCACAAACTGTAAACGCAGAGCTGGGTGCAAGGTGTGGGGTATCTGAATGCTTTACCTGGAACCACATCCATTAACTGGAACAATAGCTCAGCACATGAGTTGTACTCACAGACTCTGATCCTACCAGACAGACCAGAGCAAATGGGCCCAGGGGCTTTCTCTAGCCTGTAGGTTTCTGTTCCATTTTTTAAAGCTTTAATTACAGCTATTCTAGAGTCTGGTCCAGTACCAAACATTTAAGCAAGAATAGAGCAGAAAGCACATAACTGTCCTCATCAACCTGTACAGAAACCCACTGACTCCATCTGGCCAGGCACTGACCTCAGGCAGGGGGACAAATGAACCAGTCCATTGAGATGAGAAGCTCCCCTGCTGTCAGGAAGTTTCCAAGAAAAAGACCCTGTGGCCTGGCTAGGCTGCCATCTGTGCCTGTCATTTTCTGTGTCACTCCCATGTGATGTCATGTCAGCTGGCTGATTTCTGCAAAATCCTCTCGGCCTCACATGAGATCATGGCATCCCTCCACAGGGCCTCTGATTCAGGTCATTAAGAGTTACTCAAATAAAAGCATGAGTTTCAGGATTCAAGAACACAAAGAGAGCATGGTCTAATGGATAAGGATGCTGGCTGGAGAAACAGGTAGAGGGGCAGGCAGGCCAGCTTCTACTGCCCACTCAGCTCGTCCACACGTATTTACTCACCATGTGCCTGCCGCTAGCATTACCACAGCAAACAGTACAGACTCAATCTCCTGTCCTTCATGTTTTCACTGAGGATGGATGTCCTAATCTGCTAATGACCTTGGTCATCTGCTAACTGCCCTGTGCCTCATTTTGAGAATGTTCCCCCCCTCTTCTCTCTTCTACCTCAGAGGACTACTGTGGTAGTAAGATGTGAAAATTATCTTGAGCTCTTTGTAAGAAAGAGAAGACAATGAATTCTTAAACGTGTTCATTTCCCTTCCTCTTCCCTTCATCTCTAAGCTTCCAACAATGCTAAGTATGATTTCACTTCTGTGGTGGCGGGAGATCCGTTATAATAACAAGAGTAATGGAGTTGAGTCTGGTTTCACAGTTCTCAAAAGAGGAGATCCAAGGATAAGTCACCTGACTCCAGGGTGTGGGTTGGCACATTAACTGGGAAAAGAATATTCTCTTTTGCTCTAAGTATTGAGATGTGCTCTTTTTGTCGGCCAAAGTCTCGTGAGTACCCCTCAGATGCCAGCGAGGTAGCAGGCACCAGAGAAGCCTACCTTGTAGATGGGAAGGTCAAGTTCTCATTAACTGAGAAGAACTCAAAGGTGGGCCTTTAAATACCAGGGTGCACGGCACAGGCTAGATGGCTCAGAAATCCAGAGACAGACTCACCCTTCCTATAAGCTCGCAACTAAGCCGAGATGGCGGGAGGCCAGGTGGGTTCCTTAATTTTCTGGGCAATCTCGCTAACACCTCCTTCCTTCATCAAGTACACACACCCAGAGCAAAATGTGTGTGCCTGCCATGAGAAAGAGCTGAGCTGGCCCGAACAGACGCTTTCAAGTGTTTTCAAGTATTCCAACCACAACCACTATGTTCTATCCAGTGATAATTCCGCGGAGCCCTGCCTTGCATTTCCCTGGTTCCCAACTTAGAGCACGCCCATCAGCAGCTGTGCAGGGGGCTTTGCCCACTGCATTGGCTGCTGACACACAAGCCCCAGGCGCTCTCGGAGCCAGGAGCCTTTGACCAGTGTATTATGGAGTCTAAACCGGCGGCAGAGTTTTCCTCGCTGAGGAACACATGGACCCGGGCTCGGCTGTGTGACTCTAAGCTCATCAGAAGCTAGGTTACACTGACAGCTGTGACTGGCGGAAAGAATGGAAGGCAGAACTAGGAGCTTGTGGCCAATATTATGTCCTAGGGAGAGTCCTGAACTCCTTCCTCTCCTTTACCTGGAAAACTCAATGATGACCACGCCCGACTCATTTCACCCTTCTACTAGCTCCCGCATGTAATCCCACTTTAGGACACCAAGAGCCTTCTGGCTGGCCCCCTGGACTTCCACAGTCTCCCCTCCAGACCCTCCTGAGGCCACGAGATGGCTCTTTTTCTGAACCGCTGTATATTCCTCTCCAGCTTAGAAAGCTCCTGGTCATTGGCTCTCTGCTGACCACAGGAACAAGTACAATCTCTCAACCTGACCGGATGCCTTCCACCTGCCGGCTTCTGTTGCCTCAGTGCCACCTCACTATGCGTTCTCCCCCAGCTAGCCGCCGCTAGCCACCCGAACGCGCCGCTCCATACCTCTCTCCCCTATGCAAAATCCTCCACTACCTCTGACGGTCATCCCCCAGAATGTCCAACAAACTCGTCTTTCAAAGTCCTACCCAAATGTCCTCCCCAGCTGCACTCCCCTGTGCCCAGCCCCCCGGGGGGGCAGCACTTTCTCTCTTTTAAGGACTTTTGTCCCGGCAATGAGGGGACCACCTGGTTCCTTTCCTCCATGGGCCACGATGTTGGTCTGCTGGGGACAGGGGCTCTCAGTCCCCTCTGAGTCCACAATGCACGGTGTGCAACCTGAACCACAGCACGGTGCTGGAGGAATGGACGGCCCCGGCCTCACCTGCTGGGTCCTCAGCGCATCCAGCTCTCTCTCCAGCCAGGTCCGCAGTCTCCGCTCCATTTGCTCTCGCTTCTCACATGCAGACTGCAGCTGGCTCAGGGCCTGCTGGAGCTTCTCCACCTTCTCCACATAGGCTTGCTTCTCTCGTAACTGAGCAGAGGACAGTGAAGACGAGCAGAGAACTCAGACCGGCAGTTCTCAAAGCTGGGGTGGAGGTGGGTGTGAGGGGTCAGATTAGCTGGGGATCTTGTTTGAACTACAAGTGGATGGCCCTTACCTAATGCTATCTCTCCACTGTGCTGGGACAGAAAGGACTGACCCAAACGACAGCAGTTACACCTAGAACGGATGGGACGCTTGGAATGAGAGACCCCTACCAGGGCGCCTGCTTTCAGCTCTAAGCTCTCTCCTTGGTGATTACTTAATCCTGACAACATCTGCAGACATTGGAAATGAAGTTGGTAAAGAGTTTTTAAGGCCACAAGTAAAAGCTTATTCTATAATGTTAAGTAAAAAACCCAAAATGAAAAATCACAATACATGCTCACAGCTCTGCCTGCCTATCATCAAAAACCTAGGAAAGAAGACTCGAAAGGAAGACTTAAAAGCATCACCCATATTTATCTGTATGGCACAATAAGAATTTCTCCTCTTCCTTACTCTCTTCTGAAGTTTTCAAATCTTCTGTAGTAACTGTAAATTACTATCATGGAGAAATTGTAGGTATATGTACACATTTGTGATAAAGATAAAATTTCCTATTGTAGATACGTGTGGAGTAAGTTTCTTCGAAAGAGTTCTGAGCCCTTTATAGGGGAGTAGTGGACAGCCCCGGAGAGAGAGGAAGGGCACGATGGACACCCCAGCCCCACCACCACAACTGAGGAGATGGAAACTGAGGTAAAAGGGATTTATGGAAATATCACATCAGGCACGGATTTAGAATCACAATGCACAACGTCAACTCTCACTCCCAGACTTTGTTTTCCTCCAGTTAGGAGCCTGGCTCACGTCCGTAAATCCCAGGCCCCTTTCTAACTTCCTGGGAACCAGCTTGTGCCAAATGTCCAGCTGAGGCGTTGACTCGATCTGGTCATGCATGAGAAGACACCAGATGGTAGCTCCTGTCTGCACCTGGGTGTGCTGAGGTCTTGCAGGGGATCCAGATCCTGAGCTCAGCCCGCGGTCACACTGGCAGGCTGGAACATGCTTGTGACTGAAGAGTCTACTGCCAACGGTGGCTTCTCACTTCGCAGGCTGCACTGCAGGTGCTGTGCCTATATCCTGGCCACAGCCACTGGAATAGGATGGAGAGACCTCTGACCTGGAGGGGGGGGTGTGGGGAGCAGCAGCGAACTCACAGCCTGCTCTAAACCTGCTCTTGGCAACATTTTCCATCTGGCCCGTCCATTCACTATGCTTCTGATGGCTTGATTCAGTTGGATAGACATCTGAGGACCTACTAACTGCAGGCTTCTGTGCTAGAAGCCGATTCAGCTAAGAAAACATTCTATGAGTCCCCTTCATATACTGCTTGCCCTATCCTACACTGTCTGTCCAGTTTCCTGGGCATGTGGCTGTTGGAACAGAAGGGCCATGAGATCTGTGCCTTTCGGTCCTTGCTGGGCCAAGGTCCACCGTGTTCCCCCCCGTGCCTGCAACAGTACCCGGCATCTGGTAGGTACTCAAGAAATATTTGTTGAATGGAGAACTCTTACTTCTCATAAACTCCAAGATCCTCGAAGGCACGGCTCTGTCTCATTCACTTTTGTCTCGGCCTTTGGTCTAGCAAGGAGTGTACTGGAATGGGGAGGACTAAGAATAATAGTTCACATCAGCCAACATTTTTCAAGTTCCTCCATGCCCAGCATTGTGCTTTATATGCAATGATCTCACTGAATCCTCCGATATCAGTAAAGGGACCGCTCCTGGGCCGTCTCCAGCTAAGAGAGAGAACTGAAGAGCTTACATGACTTGCTCAAAGTCACACACTGACACATTCCAGGGTCAGGATTCGAATTCACTGTAGTCTGGCCCAGGAGTCAGTGTAAGCACTCGGGATGAGCTCTCTGAACTGAATTCAGACCCCTCAAAAGAAACGTGAATAAGATCACGGAATGAGACCAACCAAAGAGAGATGCTGGAGAAGCTACACGCAATCAAAGATTTCTAGAACGACAAGAACACCCACAGTAGTGACTATAAAAACAAAACAAAACAAAAACTGTCTTTAGGAAGCTCTCAATTAACTTGTACTTCATTAGAAATATTAAATTTACAAGATTTTTAAAATTGTAATTTTCCTTGGCTCCACACATGGAGATGGCGCTTGAGTCATTTCAGTTATAACCATAATGAAGAGTGCTGGCCTCCTGTCCTCAAAGCAGACCTTGTGTCCTTTAGGGATTAAGGTCGCTTTCTGTGCCAAATGTACATCCTAGTTAATGGGTCCCACAGTGGTAACCGGGAATCCTCTGGGGCTGTTGCTTGGGTCCTCACGCTAGACTTAAAATGCAGGTCCTGTACTGGACCTGTGGGTTTAAAAGGCTTCTAGCGGAGAAGACCCTTGTTGACTTAGCAACATTCCCATTCGGCTGCTCGCACCATGACTGAATTTGCCGGGACCCCTGAGTTAGCCGGCATCAGGAGAGGCCTTCTGAGGGAGCCACTTTTCATTTTCTTTTCTTTCTTTTTTTTTTTTAAAGATTTTATTTACCCATTTTACAGACAGAGATCACAAGTAGGCAGAGAGGCAGGCAGAGAGAGGAGGAAGCAGGCTCCCCGCTGAGCAGAGAGCCCGATGTGGGGCTCGATCCCAGGACCCTGGGACCATGACCTGAGCCGAAGGCAGAGGCTTTAACCCACTGAGCCACTCAGGCGCCCCTCATTTTCGACAACAGCTGGATGAGTAGCAACACTGTCTGCTGCGCCCCAACACCAACAGCAGTACTTTGTGTGGATACCTCCCTTAGACCTCTTCCAGACTTCGAGTCTCCACTTTCGGCAGTGGCTCTGCACAGCTCAGGCCCCGTATCCTGGGGGGCTGGCTGCCGTGGGGGCCGGGGGTGCAGGCTCCTGTCCTCCTGCCTAGGCCGCTCCTCCTTTCCTGCTGCCGTGTCTGCGGCCTGCACCCCCCAGCCTGACCCTCAGAAACGGTCGATCGACGTCCACCGTCGGGATTCACGGCAAAGTCTGCCTCACAAAATGCCATCTAAGGGATTGATTTCTTCAGAAACCACCAAATCCAGAATGCCTGAGAGGGATCACACGTTCCTGGACCAGGGGATTCGTTGCCCAGCTGGGCCAACTTCTGCAAACTGGAGACTGCTTTGCTGAATGCCACACCAACTCTACCCTATTGGAAGACTTTTGCCTTTTTTTAATGCAATCAAGAGCCCAAAGATGGAGCAAATAAACTATTTTAAAAAATGAAAACAAAAAATAAAAACTGTTAGTCTCTTTTCTCTACAGGCACCAGTGGTTTCCAGTCCTTCCATTTGTTTCCAGCCCTGGCCACTTGCCCACCCATGGTCTGCAGGCCGGGATTCGGGCGGAAAGTGAGCTCCTTCACGGCTACAGTTCACACTTGGCCTGGCTCTGGGCTGGATAAACTCTGCTGGCATTCACTTTGATTTGGGAGGCCTGTTGCATCCCTCCCCGCAACTCAAAGCCTTGGAGCTGGCTCCAGTGAGGGGTGCCGGTTGGGTAAAGGACACGGAGGCCCTTTGGGCTCTGCCCCCAACCCCATCTCACCTCCTCCTCCAGCTTGATGACCCTGGCCTGGGCGTTGCTCAGAGCCTGGTCCAGGATCTCAATGTGTCTCCGGTGGTCCTCACTTGCGGTCCTCACTGCCACTAATTCCATTTCCAACTTCTCCTTCTCCTTCAAGAATTCTTTGTCTAGAAGGGAGACAAGAACAAAACTACCTCTATTAGAAAGCACTCACCCTCTGGGCTCATGGCCAGTCTACATCTGGCAAGGATTAGAAATAAAAAGGCATGCGGAGAGCGGAGGGTTGAATTACTGCTTTTGCTCCCTCTTAATAGCGGTGATGTGTGAGGTAAGGATTTGCTCAAAAACCTCAGTAACTCTGGATACATTACAGGTCATAGTTCCAGAGGCGAACGGGACACCCCATTTTCTCCATAACTCACTTCTATACATTTGTTTTCACACTTCATATAAACCTTGTACCTAGGATTTCATTTTATGCTCCCAACCTCCCCTGCTTCCATTTTCAGAACCCGTGATGAAAGGGCAGGCAGGACTAACAACACTAATATTCCCATTCACAGAAAACTAAACCAAGGCTCTTTCCTGAGGCCAGAGGCCAGACAGCAGAGGGGAGCTCCAACCCAGGCCTCTAATCCTGGGCTGAATCCTCTTCCCATATGACCTGCCCCCCCCCAACATCTTTTCCTAGTTCTGCACAAGAGTGGAAAGGGTATTACTTTGGATTTAGGGACACTGCTCTTGGTTTAGGAAATAGCTTTCCTCCTGTTGCATGACTGTGTAACTGATGGCAATCATGGTCCCTTGGCACATGGAGAGCAAAGGCTGCCCGACATTCAGTGGCTTCTACACAGCATTCCTGCTGACTAACTACCACATCAGTTGAAGCAGGGATGGTCAATGGTGTCATGGGGTCAGTATTATTTATCAGATATTATTCCTGTTAGCAAAAGCAATGCATTTTAAAAATAAATCAGAATATTTAGTCATGTTATTTATAACATGGAAAAGACATGAATGGACTCAATGTACAAGACTTTACACCCTCCAAGACACTGTGTTGCAGCCATTGAAATTAAATGAGAACGGGGTGCCTGGGTGGCTCAGTCAGCTAAGCGTCCGACTCTTGCTTTCAGCTCAGGTCACGTTCTCGGGGTTTTGGGATCGAGCCCCGTGCTGGGCTCCATGCTCGGCACAGAGTCCACTTGAACTCCTTTCTCTCCCGCTCCATCTGCCCCTCCCAAATAAGTAAATAAAATCTTAAAAATAAATGAATGAATAAATAAATAAGAGGATGTTAGTGACATGAAAAAAAATACCTCAAGCCTGAAAAAAAAATTGGTTACGTAAACCGTGTGCACACTATTCCATAGTTGTCAAAAACAAGGCACACCATGACAACAGTGGCACAGCAGGAGTTAGAGGTTGATTCCTACGGGGGCCTTCGCCACTCGGATTCCTCTGACGGGTTATATGGATCCTGCGGCGCCTACACCGCAGCACAGAGAACCACCGTCTAGAAGCTCCAGCAGCGCGTGCCAGTGGTTTCCTTCATTCATATTTCCTCATAGAGTCACCCCTGAATTTAACCAAGAGTTCTCAAACATTAAGGACCAGCCCTGTGGGCACTGAAGCAACGGAATGAATGCTGTCCTTCAAGGAGCAGGAAACATGCTTTTGAATACAGGGCCTGAGAACAAAAAAGGCACTTTAAGCCTGCAAATACCCACTAACAAACTCGCAGTTTTCGAGCCGGAAGGGATCACAGGAAACATCCCCTCCAGTCCCACCCCTGTTGCTTTATGAGTGAGAATAGGAAAGCCCAGGAGCGAAGGCACTTGTCCAAGGTCCCCCTGCCAGCTGGTGCAGAGCCAGGGCCAGAATCCGGGTCCCTGACATTCAGGTACAATGTCCTTCCTGCTGGCCTGCCCCGCCCCTGCATTGTGAGGTCACATGGACAGGATCCGGGTGCAAACGCACCAGCATCAAAACTGACAGACTGACTAGCCTTGCACAGCTAAGGAACACATGTATTGCCTGGAAACCATGGTATCCCCGGAAACAAAAGGAAGCCACCAAGATCCTGACGCTGAACACAGAATCACTTTCAGGCTATTTGTGTGTCTTGCGGCAATCCCCTACCGTACTCCCTACCTCTCCCTTTCAGTGGCGTTTGAGATGCCACCTCTGAAACTTCGTTCGTCATCCGTGCATAATGGCCACGTGAGAGGCCTCAACGGATGGGTCAGCAGCAATTTGCGGGCTCTGCGCCCACCATCCATAGCCCTGAGTGACCCGGAGCATTTCACGGTGCAGAGTCAAGAACATTGGAACACAAGCCCCACGGGTTTGGACAACATCTCAGCAGGCCTGGTGCCCAGGGGCCTTGTCCAGGCTCTGGAGGGCACCCAGGAGTTACTCAGCATGCTTGAGAACCAGACACTGGGGTTTGCAGTTTGTCTGCTTATCAGCCTAAGCAAAGAAGTTATTCTCTCTCTTGAGGGCAGCCAAGGACACAATGATTTTGACCAGAAGAGAGCAAAATGATACACCTGAGCTCAAAACCAGAGGCACGATCAAGGCTTCTCGAGTTTTGCAAACTGATGATCACAATTACTGCTGTGTCATAAGGACAACTGTTTAGGTTTCTGAATTAAACATCCCTCCCCTCCGACATGCAAGCGTGTGCACACGCACACACACTCACCCTGGATTCCAGCATTTGCTATTTCCTTACTATCATACTGTGGCTAAAGCATTCACCTCGACCTCAGAAAGAACTGGATTCAAACCCCAAGTTCACCACTTTCCGGCTATGAGGTCTCAGGCGTGGTTCACCGGAGACTCCGCTTCCTCATCTCATCAAATCTCCTCACGAGAAAGCAGCCACATCACAGAGCTGCCTGATGGCCCTATTGATGGAGATGAGATATACAAAGCCTAAAGACCTGAGTAACCTCGAGTCTGTTTTGGTCATCTTTGACTCTCCGAGCCTAGAACCACCGCTAGCTCAATACTGTTGCATGAATGGATGATTTTCTACCAGGCCAAGTTCATGGCCGAGTGTTTAATACACGGTAGTTCTAGTTAGCTGCTAGGTATTTCCTGACAGCGTTTGCTACACAGCTGCCACTCTGCCACTGAGGCCACCACTCATCAGACATCTGGGACAGACCACGGACGCCCCCAGTTCCCTCCTCTGCTCAGGTTCCCTGAACCTTACATCGTACACCGTGACACAAAGACGTGACTATTGAACGAAGACTCCGTGAGGCCTGGACTGAAATTCGCGGGTGGAAACACCTCTGTACGAGTTTGGAAATGACCTCGGCCTTCAGGCTGCAGCCACCACACTTAGCATCACTCACACTGGCTCAGAAGTTTGTGTCCACGGAGAGGAAGTAGTGCTCTCCACGGCAAAGTTGTACTAACAGTGTTCATGGCAACAGCAACAGTAATAAAACCCACTCATGTTTGCGGAATGACTACTCTGTTCCAAGAATAGTGTCTTTATTCCTTTTAATTATTCCCTTTCTTCTCAGTTTGCTGGGTGAGGTAGGCACCACTCTTATTTCCATCTTCCTGCTGAGGCAAATGACCCTGGGGCTGAGTGACAGGCACACACAAGTGGGATTGCCGGATCTGTGGAGAGAGAGAAGGTGTCTCCGTGCCTCTCTGGTCACATTCATGAGCACGGCACTGTGTGCCTTTAAGGTAAGGATCACAACAGTCCCTGCTTGAAAGATGCGCACGGTGAATGCCCAGGTAGTGTCAACTGTGATGATGGTCCTTGCTGGCGTTCCTAAAAGCATGATCCGTTATAGGGTGTCAAGGTGAGTAGGTCATGGCGTGCTGCTCTCAGTTGGGCAGGAAGAGAGCAAGGACACACGCAGAGGCCATGTGATGAGTCGCTCTGACATGCCTGTGTGGGTGCTGTGAGAACACAGAGGACATCTCACAGAGGGCTAGCATGTAAGGGGGAGTGGCCATCCTGGCAGTGAGCCTGTGGGCAGGGGGGCTGTGGTCCTGGAGACACAGGATGGAGGAGATGCCAAGGGAGAGTCCCAGGGGTGAAATCACTGCCTAAGAAGGTCCCTTCAGCTTATTATGAGCTAAGCCCCTTTGGGAAATGTCAAGAAAGACCAGCCTCATGCTGAATTTCTGGTTGGGCTCCAATGTATATACTGAGAATTCCTAGAAGAGGCAAGTTGACACCAGAGAACTCTTGTCCAGAATGTTCTGTATACTCAGTGGATATGAATTACCCTGAAATGCGTGGAGCAGGGGGTTGTTGAACCGATGGCTCTGATCCCATTTCCACAGAGGATGTCTGCTCATACACTGTTTACTCTGGAAACCACAGAGGTGGCACAGCTTTGCAGCCAGGCCGACCTGGCTGGCTTCCGGCACCTTTGCACAGCGGCTCACCTTGGACCTGAGAGACGTGCCGGGTCCAAGGTCACACACTACTGCGTGTGACTGACAGAAGGCTTAGAACCACCAGACAAGAGAGAACAACAGCAAGAGTGGACACATTAGTGGGGGCTTCCCGTGTCCAGAGCCTTATAACAGAAGCTCATTCTGATCCTCACAACGACTCCGTGTGACAACTGAGAAAAGCAGAGTGGAGTGAGCTAGGACCCTCGTGTGGGTCAGACAGCAGTGTCTGTCCTGCGGAAAGAGCAAGAGTAGGTGAAAAGCGGAGAAGGAGGCTCCCTTTCCATCTTATCTTTTCCCCTGCCAGTTCCAGGGAGCATCCAGAGTGGCCAGTCTGGGGACACGGTTTCTGCACGTAGGCTCCCAGCACCAAGCCAGACTGCCCGGCTGACCCACAGAATGGTGGGCCCCAGTCACCTCTGCTGAGGCGTCCCAGGGACAGAGACCGGGTGTGGGGTCAGACTTGGTGGGAGAGGTGTTGGCGCCCCGTGGGCCACACTGCTAGTTTCTAATGCAGCACTCCAACCTCTGGCTGGAGTTCATGAGGGAGCAAAGCTGTGACCTGGCTCTTCTCAAGCAGGTATCAATTCCTAAGCTTTTCTTGAGATAATGGGTTTTTGAGGAGTTTTTCCTGGAGCCGCATATAACTAGAGGAATGGGGGTCCAGCTGCTGCCACCTTGACCAAGGGCTGACTAATTTACTGGAATGCATGGAAGGTGAAAGATAGGT